TCAAAACGGTGGAAACAGCCATGCCCAACAACCATTGCCGGAGCCAAGTTGTCCATTGTGAGTGTGGACCTCAATCCTTCGACAGGCCCAGCCAACCGAATCTGGAACAAGAAGGCGATATTCAGCAGTCTGGGGTAGTTCCCAGCTGGAAAGGGAGGAGAAAGGGGAAAACAGAGCATGCAACGAAACAATACTGCAAGTAAGTACGTATACATATATGATAGGAGAACTGGGTGAATATGATCGCCAAACGATATCAGAGACATTTCGATTACGGAACAAGAGGTCACAATACTTCTGTGAGTATGTACCAGAATTAATTGTGTTCCACAGATCCAGCTTTGAAGCTCAATCTGTGTACTGATAAGAATTGATTTTAGAAAGTGGACACAGCTACTTGGTTAGCATGCTCCACGGAATTGAGCCATGTGAATCGATTAAAAACGATATCAGAAACATTTCGATTACGGAAAAAGAGGTAACAATACTTCTAGGATTAGAATAGTCTGCGACAGTTGTATAGAAGGTGAAATTCTCATTGATGGAGTTTAACTCGTTTTAAAATTTCTCTATGAGACACTTTGAAAGCTGACAAAACGTTACCTTTATTTCATATTTGTCGACGATCTTAGGCTGAAAGTTTCAAAATAATATGCAGAATGGAAGGTGCGGTTCTTATGGAGCTTGTGTCATTTCATTTTGAAGAATTTAATAATACATATTGATCAATAATAATTTTATTCCTCATGTTAAACAAATTTCCCTTAAATTTATTTTGGTTGTCGGCTGCCTCAGGGAACATGGCGTTATTCTGAAAGTCTCCGATTAGCGAAATAATTTTTGGGCGACGGATGTCTCCAGCTGGGAGTGTGTTCATGGCTGGGATAATGGGGCTTGATCAAACGATCTTGAATTTTTTGAATAAAACCGCGTTTTGATGCTACGCGCTTACTCTTTGCTCACAGATTTTTCGAGCCCAACCAAATGTGGTTTTTTTCAACATCTTATGTGGTAATGGGATGTTGTTGGTTCTAGCAATGAAACAATTACAAATTTGTTCTTCCAATCGACCTACATAGTTATATTTTGACGCCTGTTCATTCAACTGGAGGATGAATTTACAGCATGATTTGTTG